AAAAAAAACATCAATTAAAGCTATAAACATGAAGAAGATTCCTATGTTATATAATAATTTTGCGGCTAAATATTCCAACAGAATTCTGCAATATAAAGTAGAAACCAGGAATGGAGCTTACTTGACCATTGAGAATGGAGGCTAGTAGAAACCAGGGATGAGGGGCTGAATCAAAAGAATTGGGGAAATCCTCTACGACGGCGTCGTTATGGTTGACGATGGGAGGTTGCGACACATGTATGAAAAAACTGCAACTTTTTATTTTGTTAGGACATAAAGTAATAGAAATCAACAAATTGAGGAGAATGAAAACCTACATTTAAAATATTTAGTTTGATAAATTGCAGTACCAGAGAGAAGGATTAAAATATTCATAATTAATTTTTTTTGATAGGATACATTTTGAAAATACGAATAGAATCTAGACAAATGCAGCTAACTCAACAATTTGAAACATTTAAAGACCTGTAAAATTCAAATGGTTGCAAAAGCAGCTGGAAATCATAAATTTCATCTCTGATCAATTCATAAAAGTGTGTGCTTTCAGTTTCTTCTTCCGTCATATGCTACTGATGAAGAACACATGTACAATTTCGAAACAGTACAAGAACAACAAAATTACTAACATATAACCAAATATGTTTTCAAAAGAATGTTGTCAATGTCTGTCAAAAAACCAAGAAATCACTGCTAGAATCTATAATAACTTCCTGGTGAGGCTAAATAGTTTCTTCAAACAAGCTCCACATTAAATGAAATTCAACCAAAAACTCTTAACCACTTTCTTGAATGTTTCTTTGTGAATTTCAGAACAAGAATCTGAATTCACTAAATAATAAGCATTGAACAATCTACCTTTCCAACATTTCACTCTCTTCAATCCATCAAGTACAAGTAAATATGTCTAAAAAATGCAATCAACAACAGAAAAATAGCAACATCAAACAAAAATCACAGTGAAATCATACATTTTAAGCTCTTCTTATTTTTCCCATATTCCCAATCACCAGCTGCAAAGAGATAATCTTCTGAATAATCATCCAAATGCAAATCAGGAAGAATAAAATTCACAGAAAATCAAACAAGAAAACCCACCAAAATAAGCTTAAGAAAAGTACAGTACAATCAATTAAAAGGCATAAAATTCATCAAAAAGTAATCACTGATCAAAGCCCATATTCCAGAACAAAGAAAAATGCATAACCCTCATCATATACATAAAAAAGAAGAAAAAGGCTCTTCAATGAGGCATTTAATAAGGGAACAAAAGAAACTGAACAATCCGCGTACCTTTTTCCCTTTTCGTGGCCCTCTTCTCCTTTATTTACATCTATGCTTAAGAACAAAGTGAACGAAATAAGTCCCTTCAAATATTCTACAATTTCTGACCCTTCAAGCTTTGAGCTTCCAAATACTCTAGCATGTTATTGGAACCCATCAATAGGTAATAAATGTAATATTCACCAATGGTAATTAGACAGCAAAATCCTTTAGCTTACCGAAAATCACAACAAAAATCGTAAGAGAAATGTTCAAGCACTCAACAATCTAGCACACAATTCTATTTACAGTCAAACGGTGGTTTGTATAATCTTCCGTGAAAATTATTCACATGACATTTTGCCATAAAATGCAGACAATATTAAGCCTTCATTCTATTTCCAATCAGAAAAAGGGCTGTAAAAGGATCTCAAAAGGTAAGAACTCATCTACAAGTTGCGATCTATTAACAATCCAACTCCAGTAATGGCTGGGAAATAAACTTCCCAAAACACAAGTGATATTGAGTACTTTTGCACATGAGAACAAATACACTGCCACCAGTTTAAACAAATACAATATTGAGAGAGATTGTGGGGCCCATATAGTTTTGAGATTAAGAACATATAAAACCTGATAGTCAATATCCATTTTTCCCATTTTTGGCTGCATCTTTTCACGTTGCTTTTGTTTCAGTTTCTTGCTATCCTCCTTTTCTATGTAGGCCTGCATATAAACACACAGCAGGCTCAGTTGCATATAAAAGAATGATGCAAAACCTCACGAGTCAGACAAGAAGAAGTGAGACCCCGAGGAAGAAGTCAATAAATGGTGACAAAAGCCTTACAAATGATGTGGGACTTCGGGTGTAACTGTGTAAGCTTCATACAACCTTTAAAACAATGATTATAGGATATCCATAGAGTA